GATACCTCCATTCATTTCTTCTACCACAGCAGCCCCCTCCTAAAAAAAAGGCTTTTTCAAAGTGTTCTGCCCTCCTTTTCTTGTTACAGTAGGGGTAGAGGCAGACCCACCTACAGCCAAGGTAGAGTTCTATCACGAGACAGAAGCATGGATTCCAGTTTTACCATTAGCTACAAATGCTACCTGAACAAAACATTTCCCCGTCTCATCTTCCTCATGCCTAAAGTAACAGTGAGGAATTAGCTTCTTAACTCTCAAACAGGCAAGTAAAGTCAGATAATAGATAAAACTATTTTAAAATGTAAAAATATAGAATTTAGGAGTCCCTGGGTGGCACAAATGCTTAAGTGCTCAACTACTAGCTAAAAGGGCGATGGTTTGAACCCATCCAGCAATGCCTCAGGAGACAGGCCTGGAGATCTGCTCCCAGGTCACAGCCTCGAAAACTCTATGGGGCAGTTAGTTCTACTTTGCACATGTGGGGTCACTATGAGTCAGAATCAACTCGACAGCAACTAACAACATTCCTGATGCTTGGCAAGTAATCCAGAATTAAGAGTATGGATATGCCTTATGTCCAAAGACATCTTTCACTGTGTGGAGAAATTCGTTTACTTCTTTTTATCAATTCAAAAACTGGTAGGTGGAAGGTGGTGAAAACCATAACGAAGAAAGGAAGTAGAATGATTTGAACACCAAAGGAGAGAGCATGAGTAAGGAATGAAATTATCCTCACTTCAGCAAGTTAATGGGTATGGCATAAACTGAAAGAAAAATACTCAATCTTTGCTAAAAGACATAATACTGTAGGTACAAGACTACCATAAATCCTGAGAGAGATGATCTATTCTCATTAAGAAGGAGCCCTGGTGGCACAACGGTTAAGTGGCTGGGCTGCTAACCGAAAGGTCGTTTGAAACCACCAGCCACTCTGTAGGAGAAAAGACCTGACGATCTGCTCCCATAAAGATTACAGTCTAGGAAACCCTTTGGGTCAGTTCTAGTCTTTTCTATAAGGGTTGCTATGAGTCAGAATCAACTTGACAGCACACAACAACGTTTAAAGAAAATGATAGGTTCCTACAACACATACTGCCACGAGGAACCTACTGAATAAGGCTGCAATCCAAGAAATGGGCTTCATAGCTTGGTGAGACACCCCTCTCCTCCAAGGCAAAGTGGGCTGCAGATCTACTAAGCCACTCAGCCACTGAGGGGAAGGGCATACTAACCCCAAGATTAATCTGCACTGTAATACGGGGGCCACAAGTACTTCCATTCAGAAATTGCCGCTCTGATTTTTAGGTAAGTGGATAAGCTCTTCCAACAAGAACTGAGACTACATTAGAGACAGCATTATTACAGCCCCCCGCCTCAAACATAGACCCAAGTACTGAAAAAATTAAAACCACTTAACCTTTCTATAAGAAGCCCTGGTGGCCCAGTGGTGAGCACCTGGATGCTAACCAAAAAGTTGGCAGTTCCAACCCACCAGCTGCTCTGCAAGAAAAAGATGTGGCAGTCTACTTCCCTAAAGATTTACAGTCTTGGAAACCCTATGGGGCAGCTCTACTCTGTCCTACAGGGTCACAATGAGTCGGAATCAACCTGAAGGCAGTGGGTTTGGTAACCTTTCTATAAGGGATCCCCCTAAGTGGCATAAACAGTTTGCACTCAGCTATGGCCACTAACCAAATGGCGGTTTGAAACCACCTAGCAGTGCCAAGGAAGAAAGCCTGATAATCCACTTCTGAAAGGTTACAGCCATCGAAAACCCTATGCTCAGTTCTACTCTGAAACACGTAGGGTCACTATGAATCTGAATCAACTGGAAGGCAACAGGGTAACCTTTCTATACCTATGTTGAAATGATAAATATATTTTTTTAATTTCCAAACAATATGTAATCACTAACCAGTGTGAACAGCAGAAAGTGTCCTGTGTCTGAAATAAAAATACCTGACTTTGAACCCAGCTATACCACTTAACAGACGAATGGCTTTGGGCAAGTTATTCAATATTTCTGAGAGTACCTATTTAAAAAAAAAGATACCATCACCCATTTCATGGGGATTCAAAAGCTCCCATCACCCTATCCAGCACAGGGCAGTTTCTCAGTGAATTAAGTGAAATGGAAAACAACAGCCTATTTCTACGGTAGATAACATACTGCAAAAAATTATTTTTATACAGCATAAAATATTTCAAAAGCCAGCAAATATTTACCTTGTTTTAAAGAAACAGTTTGGAAAAAATCTAAGGACTTGGGAAAAAAACTATGGGTAAATTAGCATAGATAATTTTGAGGGGGGAAAGCAAACACATGCCATGACTATGTCTGTCCCAAGCATGGAAAAGCTAAAAAATTTTAAGTTTCTATATAAATGACTCATTTTATGTAGGATCAGAAATAACTTTTCATTTTGATCATTAGAACAAAAAGTAAATTCTCAATCACACTATTATGGAGAGTAGGGGAAACACACAATAATGGATGACCCAAACTAGCAGTTAGCACAAAAAACTTTCATGTGTGGCTTGGAGATAAACTTTTATTTTAAATATCTTTAGGCTAAAAAATATTTTCATTTTCTTTGAAATAAGCCTTGAGTTTAACTATAAAGCAGCAAATGCAAGTAGACATCCACAGTCAATGATAGTAATTTAAATTATAATTAAAAACAATAGTTTCAAGCCATAAGCTAGATGTCTCACTCAAACCCAAATACAAAATGAGTTTGAACACTGACTTTGCCTAGCTGCAAAGATCTTAAAGAAGATCTTAACACACACCTGGCTGGTGATCTTAAGCAAGTTACTTAGCCCTTTGAGCCTCACTTTCCTCATCTGTAAAATATGGCAATAATAGTACCTACCTCTTTTTATAAACTACATTTTGTTCTGATACACGTAAAGTTGCCATGAGTTGGAGCTTACTTGACTGCAACTAACAAAAACAATTTAGTATTAATAGTATGAACTTCAGATTCAGAAGACTGCTGTCAGAATACACAAGTGCTTCAAGAATCTCTGGCACAGGGTGGGCACTCAGTAAATTTTAACGATTATTATTCATATTTGGAATTTTCCTATCAGAAAAAACGTTAATCATTAAAATAAAAAATTATTTGCTACAATATTTCACAAGTTTCCTGGGATTTTTCTAAGCCCAGTCTTCCAATTCAGTTTTCCTTACAACTTAAATTTAAATTCAACAAGAGCACATCAGTAGTTTAGTTCAGCTCTCTTTATCTGTTAGATAAAAATTGAAGCCATTTGTTTCAGCAATTCAACCTTCCCTCCAAAGAGAGGGAAAGAGGTTAGGGGCTACTAGCAAAATGGTAAAAGTCAAAATGGGGAAAAAACTAAGAGTACTAAATTACCATGTTAGAAGTGTACAATTCCTTTTGATAATACAGCATCATGCCCTAACGTTTAAAAAGACTTTAAACAAAGGACCCATTTGTATCGGACAAACTTAAACACACGATGTGAAGTAAGATTTTGTGTTTGAGATTGCAAAGATCTACACGTTTTCATCTCAAAAGAAGCTGATCAAAACTTTCCAACTCACTATGTAAAAAGTTCTCCCAAACATCCAAAGATGCAGAGTAGCTGATTATTATGTGATAGGCCTACACAACAGAATACTAACACTGGACAGTCAAAATATTATTTTAAAGGGTAAATAATAGCTCTCAGAAAAATAAATCCAATGTATTCAAAATCTTAGAAATGCCTCCAAAAAGAAATTATTTTTCCCCAGTTTAAAGCTAATTTGGGTAGCCTGCGGGCAATTTACTCCAAATTACCATTTCACCACTTTTCAATTCAGATTGAATGTCAATATCCCTAGAGTTTTGTTTTTCAGAGAACTGGAGTTCTGGTTAGAGTGTCCAATTGATAAAAATTCCTTGAAATGAATTTGTAATAATTCAGATACAGAACGACTATAATCATAATAAACTGAAACAGCTACTGAAAATTACAGACTGCAATCTAACAAAAGAGGTGGCATAAAACTATTTTCAAACTGATAAGAAACAATGTGAAAACGGTTTTACCTAAGGTGGACATACTGTTTAATTAAGTGAAAATTCACAGAATGCACTGAGGAAAGTGGGAATCCTTACAGCAAGTAAGTCTTTAAAAAATCTGAAACACTGTTACTTTTAACACCACAAGGTCTATGAACCTTGAGGGCTGTTTCAAAAAAATGTGAAGGGTTTATGGGGAGCCTGAGGCATGAGGGCAGATTTTAAGCGTTTTAAAAATATCTACCAACTTCTCCCCACCTGTTAACTGAACCAAAATATAAACATACATTTAAGCAACCACAACAGCCAGCACAAAATGATTCCAATTTTGCAGGACGTTTGCAGACGAAAACGACACACAAAAGTCGGCATTACTACTTTGAAAAAGGCAACCAAAAGTGGTTAACACAAATCTAACTTCTCAGGGCAAAGAAGCATTTTCCCTTACAAGTGTACCTGCAAAATCCATGAACCACTGTTGTCAACCTGCAACAGGATCAGAAAGAGGTAGCAAAGAGATGGTAAACACGAAATAAGGAGAACATGTGCACGGTAAAAACCTCTTCAAAAAATGAGGCGGCGAAGAACTTTCTTAGCTCCAAGAAACTGTCATCTCGCTGCTTTACAGATTGGTGAACTAAGGAGGAAGATCGGACTCAGCGGTGCCTTTCTCAAGGTCACCCCGCCGATGCAGAAGAACCGCACACCCCGCGCTCCCCTGGCCCCGACCTCTCCACGCTGCCAGCCGGCGCAGCTCAGACGTGCTCGGCTCCACTCGTACCCACACGCTGCCAGACACTCGGAGAAGGGGACACTCGCGCGCTTTCCGCGGAGCTCCCTGGCGGCTGGGTACCGTGGCCCCCCAGCCCAGCAGGGGACCCCTCCGATCCAGTCCGAAGAGGGCCCCTGCCCCCAAAGGGCTGTGGAGGCGGCGACAGTCCCGCTGCGAGGGGCTCCACTCACCGTCACTCTCGGCCCTGACAAGCAGAGACATGCCCTTCAGCCGCTCTACGTAGCCGGATGACACATGCCCGGTGCCTCGGTCGTCCCACTGCCGGTCCTCGTTGAGCGTGTAAACCTTCACCCGCCGCCGGGTGTCGGTCATCGTGCCGCCCAGGGCCTGGGGCGGGCGCCCCGCCGGAGTCGCCCGGGCAGAGGGCCCGGGGGAGGCGGGAGCCGAGGCGGGAGAACGCCGGCGAGCAAAGGTCACTGCCGCCGCTGACCGCCGCGGGACCACGCCGCCGTCCGCATGGCCCGCACCCGAGCCCGAGCTCTGGGCCGCCGCCTTCCCTCGCCTGTGGCTCCTCGGCGCTATTGTCCAGGTCCGGCGAGCCCGGCCGCCCCGCCGCCCCGAAAGGGCGCGCAGCGTTTCGCGGCCTTCCGCCCCCCGCGGTAGGAACTCGGGGCGCCTGTCACTGCCCTGCTCCCGCCTCCGCCATGAGCTCCGCGAAGTCGCTTCCCGCGCCGCCGCCGCCTACTCAGGCCGCCGCCGCCATGTTTTCCTTCCTTATACCTGGCCCTGCCACCGCAGTCGGTGGCTCCGCACTGTTCCCCCTGCTTCAAATGTCCGAAACCGACGACCGCCTGCTTCTGCCGCTACTGCTGCCGCTGATCGGGAGACTCCGAGAACCCGCGGCCGACGGAGCGCTCCTGACTGTTGGAAGTCCCTTCCTCTTCGCCGCTGCCACCGCCTCTTCCGTCTTCCTCACAGAGCCAATGCCGCCGCCATCTTGGTTCGCTCCTCAATAGGCGCGCGCGGGGCCTCCCAGGCAGCAGCTGCAGGGGCGGCCCGTTGGCCCCACCATTTAAAGAGACAGAGGAGAGACCGGCAGCTTCGCTACAGCGAAGGCCTCGGACGAGGCGGGCTCCTAGTTGCCGAGGTGGCGGGAGCTCAGAGAGCGGGGGCGGCGAAAGGCGGTCGCGCAGGTGACGGCCCGGGACTCCCTCGCGCTTCCCAGCACGCACCGTCGTGCGAGCGCGGGGCGGCGTGTGCGTCCGTCGCGCCCTGTGTTCGTCATCAGCCCCGCTCCGGCATTCGAAAGGGGCGTGGGGCCCGCCTCCGGCTGGAATCGCAGAGCCAAGCCTCAGCAGCGTGCTTGGCTTCCCGGCCTTCAAGTTCTCCCGCCGCCTCCGCCGCTGCTCCAGTTCTCCGGCGCCAGACGTCTCGGGCCTGGGGCTCTGCCGCTTGGCGCCAGCCTCCTCGAGTGTCCCCTTCGGGCCGCATTTGTTGTTGGACTGGGCACTTGGGACGCCCTCAGGCGCGGAGTTCGGGAGGCGCCGGACTTCAGGCGGTTCTCCTTTGCGATGAAATTGAAAAGCTTCTGAGAAAGGGCACAGGTTTGGGCCGCGAGGCCACCGCGAGTCTTCGGAGCTGCTGTGGGGCACGCACTTGCGTGGCGAGCCCACAAACGGGACATTTTTAGTTTTCTGGGCCTAGGACTAAGCCCCAAGTGACAATTCAAAAACCTCATTTTACATTCCAGCTGCGACCTTCATTTCCCTACCTATATCAGAACTGTTACTTCCTAGCCCTTTGTTGTAAAAAGAACTTGCGAGGCTTACAAAAACAAATGCAGCCCTGTATCATCAGAATGAGTAATTTCTCAACGTTAGCTAATACTGTTTTTGGAGCACCTGCTTGATGTCAAGCACTGTTAATCTTCACAAAGGAATAACATTCTCTTTCCTATCTCGTGCAATAATAGCCGCTATTTTAAGGCTTTTACTGTTTGCCAAACCATCTAGGTCAGTGCTGTCCAACAGAAATAAGTGAGCCACGTGTGTAATTTAAAATTTCTAGTAGCCACTTTGAAAAAACAGTACAGAGAAACAAATTAGTTTAATAATGGATTTTATTTAATGCCATATTTTTAAATGTCATTTTAATGTATAATCAGTAAGAAATGAAGGTATTTTACTTTTTTTTCATACTAAGACTTCAAAATCCGATGTGTATTTTAACCTTATTCATACGATAAGAATTTTCACAAATTCCTGATCTCTTGTTAGATTTCATTAAATTTACCGTTGGAAAAGTAGATTCACAAACCCAAGTTGGTCCAAACAGAAAATTACCAAAAGCTGAATGAAGTATCAGTTCTTAAATTTAAATTTTAATTAAAACTAGGTAAAATAAAAAATTTGGTTCCTCAGTTGCACCAGCGGCATTTCAAGTGCTCGGTGGTCACCATTTTGGCAGATTCAGGTGCTTAGCATTATTACGAATCTTGTAGCAACCCTGCATTGTAGTTTGTATTATATCATATGCAGAAAGAGGCTCTGAGAGTATAACCAACCAGCCAGGTTTGCCCAGGGCTGAGAGATTTACTGGGATTGAGGGGTTTCCTGGGATGCTGGACTTTGCGGATTTAAAAATCAGAAATTGGGACCTTTGTCCTCCACAATATCAAATGCACAGAAGTACTTGCAAAAGAGTAGCCCGAAACCATCATTTAAAAATAAAACTGGATGTTTTTACTAAAAAAAGTAAAATGCAGTGATTTCAAGTATTAGGGCATGAGAGCAGTTTTGTCAATGGAGCCCTGGTGGTGCGCTGGTTAAGAACTCAGGCTGCTAACCAAAAGGTCAGCAGTTTGAATGCACCAGCCTCTCCTTGGAAACCCTAGGGTGCCCTTCTCCTCTGTCATGTACGGTCACTATGAGTCGGAATCAACTCGACGGCAACGGGTTTGGTTTTTGTTTTGATATGACGTCAATAAAGGTGACCTGGAGGTACAGTGGTTAAAGCACTCGGCTACTAACTGATAGGTCAGTGGTTCAAACTCACCAGCCGCTCCATGGGAGAAAGATGTGGCAGTCTGCTTCCATAAAGATTACAGCCTTGGACAGCCTATGGGGCATTTCTACTCTATCCTATAGGGTCGCTATGAGTTGGAATCGACTCAACAGCAATGGTTATGACATCAATACATTTATTAACAGACACTGGATCCTTAAACCAGACATAATTTATTTATGGGAAAATGATACTTTTTCTTATAAATTCCTTTTAAGGTAAGTTAAACAGCAAGAATTGTTAAATGGAAAAAGGTTAAAATTGTATTTTAAGTTATAAATCATATAAAACATATTTGGATGAAATTTTTAATACAATCTTAAATAACAATAAATAAAATACTTTAAAAGTTTAATCACTTTTAAATGCCATACCATGCACAAATGGTGATAGAATTAAGAAAATTTCCAAGGGAATTCAATAAAGCAGCTTGCCAGTCACAAAAGGTTGAGATACATTGTCATAGTGGTCAAGGCTGTGGCTGATGGATTATGAGTCCAGGTCCTGCCTGTTAGTTGTTTGACATTTACAAGTTCCTCAACCTCTCTCTACCTGTCTCCTCCTCTGTAAAAGAGGAATAAGAATAATGTCTAGGTTTGTTCTAAGGATTCAATAAGTAACTGATTCTTTCTTTGCTCTGAACATAAAAGTTTCCACTGAGCCTTTCTACCTTCACCTACATGCATAACATAAACTTGTAAAATATACACTGGAGCCTATTCATTACGCAATATTTGTACCTACTCTGTGTTACTTACATTTATCCACATTGCATTCATCATTTTATAGTGTTGCCTGCTTTAAACTAAAAGCCCTGGAAAGAGCAGGAGCAGGGCTGCTGGGTTACCCACTGCTTGATTCCAGAATGTGCCTTCCATGAAGACGACCTCTGTGTTTGACACTGAAGATAATGGGGGCTATATAGGAGTCCCCACCACTCGTCTGTCAGTTTGTTGTACTGTGGTGACTTGTGTGTTGCTGTGATGCTGGAAGCTATGCCACCAGTATTTCAAATACTGGCAGGGTCACCCATGGTGGACAAGTTTTGGTAGAGCTTCCAGACAGACAGACTAGGAAGAAGAACCTGACGGTCTACTTCTAAAAAAAATTGGCCAGTGAAAATCATGAATAGCAGCAGAACACTGTCTGATACAGTGCTGGAAGATGAGCCCCTCGGGATGGAAGGCACTTAAAATACGACTGGGAAGAGCTACCTCTTCAAAGTAGAGTCAACCTTAATGATGTGGATAGAGTAAAGCTTTTGAGACCTTCGTTTGCTGATGTGTCATGATACAAAATGAGAAGAAACAACTGTAAACATCCATTCATAATTGGAACATGGAATGTACAAAATATGAATCTAGGAAAATTGGAAGTTGTAAAAAATGAAATAGAATGCTTGAAGATAGATATCCTAGGCGTTAGAGAGCTGAAATGGACTAGTATTGGCCATTTTGAATCAGACAATCATACGGTTTACTATGCCGGTAACGACAAACTGAAAAGGAACAGAGTCACATTCATCGTCAAAAGGAACATTTCAAGATCTATCCTGAAGTACAACGCTGTCAGTGATAGGATAATATCCATACGCCTACAAGGAAGACCAGTTAATACGACTATTATTCAAATTTACCCACCAACCACTAAGGCCAAATATGAGGAAATTGAAGATATTTACCAATTTCTGCAGTCTGAAATTGATAAAACAAGCAATCAAGATGCATTGATAATTATTGGTGCTTGGAATGTGAAAGCTGGAAACAAAGAAAAGGATGAGTAGTTGGAAAATATGACCTTGGTGACAGCAGTGATGCTGGAGATCGCGTGATAGAATTTTGCAAGACCAACAACTTATTCATTGGAAATACCTTTTTCCAACAACGTAAACGGTGTCCTCACTAGATGGAATACACAGGAATCAAACTGACTACATCTGTGGAAAGAGACGGTGGAGAAGCTGAATATGATCAGTCAGAACAAGGCCAGAGGCTGACTGCAGAACAAACCATCAGTTGCTCATATGCAAGTTCAAGTTGAAGCTGAAGAAAATTAGAACAAGTCCACGAGAGCCAAAATATGACCTTGAGTATCCTACCTGAATTTAGAAATCATCTCAAGAATAGATTTGACACGCTGAATACTAATGACCGAAGACCAGGTGAGTTGTGGGATGACATCAAGGACATCATACGTGAAGAAAGCAAGAGGCCATTAGAAAGATAGGAAAGAAAGAAAAGACCAAAATGAATGTCAGGAGAGACTCTGAAACTTGCTCTTGAATGTAGAATAGCTAAAGCGAAGGGAAGAAATGATGAAGTAAAAGAGCTGAACAGAAGACTTCAAAGGGCTGCTCGAGAAGACAAAGTAGAGTATTATAATGAAATATGCAAAGACCTGGAGTTAGAAAACCAAAATGGAAGAACATGCTCGGCATTTCTCAGGCTGAAGGAAATGAAGAAAAAATTCAAGCCTCGAGTTGCAATATTGAAGGATTGTATGAGCAAAATATTGAATGATGCAGAAATCAATAAAAAAAGATGGAAGGAATACACAGAGTCACTGTACCAAAAAGAATTGGTCTATGTTTGGTCATTTCAGGAGGTAGCATATGATCAAGAACCAACGGTACTGAAGAAGTCCAAGCTGCGCTGAAGGCATTGGCGAAAAACAAGACTCCAGGAATTGACAGAATACCGATTGAGATGTTTCAAGAAACAGATGCAACGCTGGAGGCACCCACTCATCTATGCCAAGAAATCTGGAAAGCAGCTACCTGGCCAACTGATAACGAAGAGATCCATATTTGTACCCATTCCAAAGGTGATCCAACAGAACGCGGAAATTATTGAACAATATCATTAATATCACACACAACTAAATTTTTGCTGAAGATATTTCAAAAACGGTTCTAGCAGTACATCAACAGGGAACTGCCAGAAGTTCAAGCCGGATTCAGAAGAGGACATGGAATGAGAGATATCTTTGCCGATGTCAGATGCATCTTGGCTGAAAGCAGAGAATACCAGAAAGATGTTTACCTGTGTTTTATTGACCATGCAAAGGCATTCAACTGTGTGGATCACAACAAGTTATGGATAACATTGCAAAGAATGGTGTAAAAACAGCGTGGGGGCAGTGTCTGACCTCCTCCAACCCCACAAGGGGGAAGGAGAACCAAGATCAACAGCGCAAGGCTGACTCCCTTGAGATGCAGACCAGACAAGCCTCCTCTCTCTGCCATCTTTACTATTTCTGACACCAGCCGTCCCTCGCACAGCACTCTCTACTTCACCACTGGATTCGATAAATCATTGCAGTGGCTACACAGAACTCACAGACAATACTCACGATTATGGGGATATTAGGAAAGTAACAGTTACAATTCAGGCTCAGGAATGCTCAGAATAAAGTTCTTCCATTAGGACAGCCTCTCCCCAGCTGTGCTCACAGGCACGCCTCTCCCTGGCCCTTGGCCTCTGCCCAAAGACTCAGCTTTTTCTCTCTGTGGGCTGGGAAGCCCACCAGACTGTCTCCTGCTGCTGGGTCTTTCCTGTCACCACCTCTCACTGTCTTCAAGTTTACAGCTCACTCTCTGTCTCCCACGTCCAGGAGCTTCTCAGCGCAGTGATCCCAG